AAAACATGTTCACAGTAGACGGAAAATTTGAAAACATCTCTTGATAGTTATGCGTTATTGGAAGACTGAAAGATTAATGCCTAGACACCAACTATGAAGTCTTTAAAAAAGGTACTCATTAAAAATAAAAAAATAAAATAAATTAACAATGCTAAGCCTGGTGGGGACACAAGTAAAGCCTGATGGCCCACCAGGCTTATAATACACTGAGGGAAACCCTGGTGTTAGTATTGAGAAGACAATGACTAAACAGAGCAATGGAAATGATTGTTGGCACCATGTGACAACCACCATCGCAATTTCATTAGGATTTCTGTTTAACTTTCTTCCTATTTCAACTGTTGCAGCAACAATTAGTTGGGAGATCTGAAGTCCATTTTTTTTATAAAGAGAGTTATTTCTGCCAGGCACTGGGGATTATGATTTTTTTGTTCTTTGTAATAGAGAAGTGAGAAAAAACTGTGCGCTAATGTTGAGCACATCTATTCACGTGGCTTTCACAGGGTAATGGGCCTGTAACCTACATCCTTCAGCTGCAGGCAGGCATGCATTGTGTGTAAGAATGGTCACCATACCAAAGAGGATTAGTTTTTTTTTTTTTTTTAAAAAGGGTCAAATGCAATTTAAAAGTGTGCAGATGTTGCATGTAGGTTACTTAGAGGCAACATCCTTACAAAAAGGAAGCAACTGCTCTCAAAATAGTAATGTGCAAATGAAAATGGAAATAATGATGAGAAATGGCTTAAAACAAAAACATATTTCTATTGTTACAACCTAGTTAAAGTCTTAGAGCTCTCATGTGCACAGAGATAGGAAACGGTCAACTTATTTGTGTATTTAAGTTAATAAATGTTTAGTCCATTCATTCCAACCATACAAACAAATTCAAATTGCATTACAATTTCTATTGATTGTATGACGTTGACTTTGCACCAGTCCCTCATTCAGTACATGATACAAGTAACATCATTGTGGGAGAAAACCTCTGTTAAGTTTTGTGATTCTCTAAATAAAGGATATAGTCAAAAATACTGTCATAGGATGTTTTATTCTATCTACAGAGAGCTGGAAAAAATATAAAAGGATCAGGAGGAGCTTACAACACTTTATTGGTTTTAAGATTAGGGTTTCTATGTGGTTCAGCTGGGTGCCGCTGGCTTTCGGCTGTCATTTCTACTACTGCCTGAGGAAGCTGAATTATTAGTGCGAGGCATCAGAAAGCCTGCCATCCCACTCTAACAGTGTCCTTCTACCTTACTAAAAATAGCCGACACAGGAACACACTCGGAGGGAAAGAGCAGAGTTTGTGAACCATGGATAGTACATTCAAGTGGGAAGTGGCAGCGGTTGTCAGACTTTCATTCACTCAAGTTGAACAAAACAGTTCTGGCTGATAAAGAAGTACCAGAATTATGAGCAGAAACACTTCAGAAAAAGTACATGGCATAAGATTGATGAAACAATGCAGAACACACAACATGAATAAATGTGTAAACCCAAAATTTACCATCACAGTCGCTGATGCTGGTGTTTAGACAATGATATTCTCTCAGTGATAGAAAACTGATTCCTGCTTCTTGATTAATGACCAATGGCAGGTCTGTCATCTGAACAGGTGGCCTAATGATTTCTACTTTTTCCACTGAGACATGTCACACCAAATATTTTGGTTCGGACTGTTTTTGATGTCAAATCAACTTTACATCAACTTGACATGGTCATAAAAGTCATTATTATTGAGCTTTTAATTAACTATTAAAAAAGTTTACAATTATTTATTGGTGGAATCATCATATAACAAACTAAAACTTAATGCTAGAAGGCTTGTATTACGTTTCTGAAATCCCCCTAAGCTCAAACCTACCAGTAGAATAAGTGGACCGTTCCTAAAAGACAGTTTGGTACCAGAAAACCAACTAATTTAAATTAACTCTGCAATTTCTGCTGAGTAGACTTTAGAAATATTCAGCCAGAATTACGCTGAATAAAATGATCAAGTTTTTAAGGGTCATTTAACCACATATTGTAAAGGTTGTATATATCTGTATGATTTTAAAAATTAGTTGCAGCTGTTATATAATCCTTCATATATAGAGGAAGGCATTATGAAAAGCTCCAAACTATTATGGCTTTCTTACAGTTTGATCATAAGAATATGATCATATTGGGTTTACATTTACTGAACAGTAAAAAACCCACAATGGACAGTGACACAGCAGGAAAAATTAATACTGATATTTTACTCATTACTTGAGTCAACCTGTGTATTCTCTCATCAGTAAGCTTTACTAACAGACCACAACACTTTATCTAAGATGATCAGTGATGAAGGCGCTTGGGTTCAGGTCAGCAGGGTGCCAGTACTGCTGTGCAGATGCAGTATGCATATGGCCGTAGGTCCCACAGAAACCCCTCTGGAGCAGCAGGTGTCGTACTTCTACTTACTTTAAAGACAAGTCACAAGAAGGCCTGGGTGGTGAGTTCCCAACTTGTACTTATTGGGGGATTATACAGAAAACTTGCAGAAAGTGAGGACCACACCACACGTTGTAACGAGGGATTAGGGGAGCAATGCCACTGTTAGCCATTTGGATGCAAGAAACACAAGCTTATGATTATTTCATCTGACTTGAGGACAAACTGGCTTTTTCTGTAGTTTTCTTTTCTTTTTTATATTTTCTGATTTAGCAGCTGGTTTTAGTTATTTTTCATCCTTTTCCTTCCTTTTTTTTTTACCATGACTAAATGTTAATTTAGTCAACATTTTGATAATTCTGCATCTTTTTATAGCTGTTCTGAGTGTGTGTTTATGTTATGTTTGTCTTTGTCTGCCATATATTCGTTATTTATATTAAATATTTCGATGTCTTCAGTGACTTCTTTTAAACTAACGACATTCTTTTGAGGCTGTTTCTGTCTCATTTTTGTCTGTTTTGTTATTTATTTAACAACATTATTTGGCTAACTCTGATGATGTGAATTCTTGGTATTAGCTCCACTAATTAAAATAATTATCTTATGCAATACTCAGAAAGGTTTTCAAAAGATAAATACACAAAGAAAAACTTGTTTCAAATACATTTCTATAGCATTTGGGAGTTTAGTTTCTAAAATACCTTCATACAAATTTAATTTGGGTGTCTTTAGTTAAACCTCCTGGTGTTTGTTGACCTCTGCTGGTGACTCAAAACTTCGTCTGCTCTGATGAACATTAGCACAGCTTGAAAGACTTAACTTTTTTAAATGCGTTGTGTTGAATTAAAACCAGGAATGGATGCCTTTGCAAAACAATCTCTGCATCCAGAACACAAGTTTATAAATGACAATTCTTGGAAAGGTGAATGTTCTAGAAACAAGGTATGATTTTGATTTTCTGTTTTTTTTTATTGTTTCCTAAAACAATAACATTGTTATGAACACTAGAAAATTGACATGTCAGGTTTTATGAAGTGTTAAGAAAAATGCATACTTCTATTTTATAAATAAGTTTATATTCCTCCTCCCCAGGACTGTATGTTTTCAGACTGGATATTTTGTTAAACCACCTTTTACTGAGATTACATCTGCAAGTCTTCTTTGGATTTGGCTCTACTAGTTATGAAGCACAACTGATGCATTTTCTCCATACCTCCCCAGCTATGGAAACTTTTGATTGCTGCTCTAAGTAATGCTCTTCTTGTCCAGCCTGTGAGAAAAGCCATGCCTTGGAGTTCTTGCAGCTCTGCCATGGATTTTACTTTTATTGCATAATGGATTGAACAGCGTTTTGAGATTAGCAAAGCTTGTCATTGTCATGTTTGGGGTCAGTTTTGGACCCATTTTAAGAAACCTCTCAGAGACCAAATTAGGGTTTTGACATTTATTAAGTAAATAATGGAGGTGCAACTTGGGCAAGGTGAGTTCAACTGAGGGAAAATGGAGCTGATGTTCTGAGAATGAGTGGAGCTGGTTTACCAATTTGAGGAGAGGGGTGACACAGAAAGGGGGAATCCCATTGGATGGTGTAATTTATGGTACCATCAAGGATCAGCACTCAGGTTTTTATGAAATTGCATTGCAGATTGCTCTTGGGCGTTAGAGCAAACAGCTGCCTCAGGCACTCCCACTCACTGGAAGCAGAGGTAAGCAACGTCACACCCAGCACACAAACTTCAAACCATGAAACTAAGATTGCTTTATATGGTGAGATTATAAATTATAATTTATAATCTAATAAACTTCTCCACAACTTTATCAGTGACATATTTTTTTTGTTGCTTGACCTTAATGATGGTGTTTATTAACTTGTGTTGTCTAACAGACCTCAGACGTTCATAGGACAGCTATGTCGTATTGCTTTTAAAAAGTGGGGCACTTTAAGTAGGTGAATTCTAAAGGAAGTTGGTGGCATTCAGTTTGTTTCAGGAATATCAGAGAAAAGGGGGCTAAATATCATATTTTGATGTATTTATTAAATTAAAATCCAATGATCATTTTCTTTCCCATTCACCTTTAGGTGCAACTTATGATCACACTGTTGCAGCATAGCAAAAAGCTCCATTCAACCTAAATACGTATTAACATACCATACATATCACATTCTGCAGACATTATGCATGCATGAACCGGTTAACTGTAATATCGGCCATGTCCCAGAGACAATAGGGTCATGGCTTTATGTATATCTACGCATGCAACACAAGTATTGTATATGCAGCCACCACTACACAACCACGGTCCCCTGACACATGACCAATTTACACACAGAACATTTGTAATACATCCATAATCTGATAATTCTGGATTAGAAGTGCTCAGTGTCAATCTTCTGCCACAATACTTTTTAATATTTTGATATAAGCAGAGCTCCAAATTTGTTCATGTAGACCCATTGGGCCATGTATAGCTTCTTCCATACACAAGATGTCATACAATTCATATAGCAATTTTTCAATTAGAAAACAATTTAAAATGTTTTGCAATTTAACCTTTTTAGTCCTTTTTGGTCCAATTTAGTCCTTTTTGCTGCAAGAAATACAAGATTGGCTAATTTATAATCATTTTAGGTATGAAAGTCAGCAGCTCTATTGCTTAACAAACATATGGCTGGACAAACAATAAGATTTATACTAAGCATTATTGAAGCAGCTTTAACAATTTGATTCCAGAAAAGTTTCACATCTGGACAATACCACCACAAATGGAGTAATGACCCCTTTTCCCCACATCCATTCCAGCAAAGCTCTGAGGACCAAGGGCCAATTTATTTGAGTTTGGGTGGAGTTACATATGCATGGAGGATAATGTAGCAGATTCAGGTATTTTTGTTATGTTTCTCCATGTTTGTTTCCAGTCTATGGGATTTTGATATACTAGGTCACGTTTCCAGTGGGATTGAAGTTTACTGTTTGGGTTTTTCCCCCCTGAATTTTACGTATATTGACCTCTAACAGATCACATTTCAAGGTGGGGATACAGTTTAGCATGTTCCAACATGATAAGCCACTGGTAACACGATCATTCAGTAGTAGACAGTGATATTAATGTATGATAAGCTGTAGAAACACTGTATCTTGAAACTAGTTAGACTCTGGGTCAAAGCAAGATAAGACCTCTGACAGAATTAGGACACTGTTGTCTCCAGGAAGTCAGAGGAATTAATAAGGTCACTGCCAAAAGCTCATTACTCAAAGTACAAAGATTAGCTTGCACACACACACACACACACACATATATAGTCATATATGTGTGACCAGTAACCAGCTATATATGGTTACCAGTATACATCTGAGAGGAATGACTGACAACAATCTGAGGAATACGTTTCAGTTGTTTTCCAGCTAAAGTGCATAAGGAAACAGGTATTACTCTTTACATTATTTTACTCTATGTCAGCCTTGTTGTCCTCTTGGAGAAAAAGTTTTGCATTGTTTTCATTTTAATGGTTAAAATTAAATGGTGGCTGTTTCACAAACTTTAAATCATTCTATTCTGCAGACATGCTTAGCCGCGCACTCTTATTGTTGGGGATTTTTCTGATCTTGGAGCATGGGTCGCCTATAGATGTCTTTACACAAGAAGGTAAAGTGTGGCTCATGAGAATAAACATTTGCTCAAACATTTATTTCCTTTACATCTTTTAAAATCTGACTTTATTTTCAGCAACTGACCTCCCTGGAGGTATTGTGGAAGATACAGAGAACCTCACCAGGACAAACTTTGAACGGTTGAGGACATTGAGCGACAGATTCAAATACATTGCACGGAGCTGTAAAGAAATTCTGGATAATCACAGTGAACGAGAAGGTAGGAATGCTTGACCTGTTGACGTATATTGCTGTTCAAGCCTAAACATTTTTTTTAAATTTAATTTAAAATGTAATAACTTCCAGAGCATGTTTAGAATAAACAGCCAGAAATAAGAAAATCACATTGTGAGTCACTTGATCTGTATTGGTGTCATGTCTCCAGATGGGATATACTACCTGACCACAGCTAATGGGATGAAGTATCAGACTTTCTGCGACATGAACACTGCTGGAGGCGGCTGGACTCTGGTGGCCAGTGTCCATGAAAACAGCATTTATGGAAGATGCACTGTGGGGGACCGCTGGTCCAGTCAGCAGGGTAACAATCCAAATCTGCCGGATGGAGATGGAAACTGGTCCAACAGAAACACCTTTGGTTTAGTAGAGAGTGCCACATCTGATGATTACAAGGTCAGAAAGCAGACTGAATATTCTCAACATTATATTACTTATATACATTACATTATATACACATGTTGCTTGTGTAAGAATGTAGCAATAAGTAGGATTTTTTTTTCCCCGCTGATATGCGACTTGCACTGACTGGAAACTTTTAACCATTAACACTATCCAACTGGCTTTGAAAGCACTGAATGGGGTTGATTTAGTCAGAATTTATAGTGCTATGCTCTATAGTCATAATTATGGAATTATATATATTTTATTGGTATTTTATGTGATATATAAACACAAAGCAGTTTTTATTAGTTATTAGAGTAAAGTAGGATCAACACGTCACACTTTTTAGTCTTATTTGAAAAAACATAAAGTCCTTAATTGTTGCTTGACAATTATGCAGTATTTTGTGTTTGTATATCCCATAAAATCCTCCCATGCCATAATGACAGACGCAGCTTGTGTTTCCAGAATCCAGGTTACTACGACATTGCTGCTAAAGACGTGTCTGTGTGGCACGTTCCCAACAACTTCCCGATGGAGCACTGGAACCTGGCAGCTATTCTCCGCTACCACACTGAAAACAACTTCCTCCGTCTTTATGGGGGAAATCTCTTCAATCTGTTTAAGGTAAGGCACAACAGCCAAAACTGAAATTGTTTCTGATGTTCCTACTAGTCTATGTGCATTAATGACAAATTTGTCACATTTTTGCAGCAATTTCCAGTAAGGTACAACATTGGCTCGTGCTCCAACAGAGGACCAGCGATTCCCATTGTGTATGACCACGGAAACAGGGAGTCCACCAGAAATTTATATGGACCAAAGTCAAGAAGTAAATGGAATAAAAAAAAAACTTTTTTGATTCCATGTAACTGAACACTTAAGCTTTACATTGTGTTCTTATTTCTGTTCCACAAAAAAGACGAGTTTGATCCAGGCTTCATCACATTCAGAGCTATAAACAATGAGCGAGGAGCCATGGCTATCTGCTCTGGGGTCAAACCCAGAGGGTGCAACTCCGAACATGTGAGTCTCAACAGCTTTCTGTCCGAGTCTGCTGCTATTCAGATGATGCATGATGTAACAATCCTGTGTTTTTGTACGTCCAGTACTGCATAGGAGGAGGAGGATATTTCCACCCGGACCAGTGTGGATATTTTCCATCTTTTGACTGGGACAGGCTGGGAAGAGAACAAGGCTGGAGTGCCTCCAAGGAGATGACTGAGTCTGCTGTCCTTCTGTTTTACCGCTGAGGTAAAACAGAAGATTGATTGGTGAGCTGGATTTAAACTAGATTTAAACAGCTCACCAGTAGATGGCACTACAGTACAGCGCATTTAAAAATATATAGATGAAGGTTTGGGCCGATTTAAACAGGTAGCAGTGAGAAAATTAAAGAGAAAACAACATATTGGATACCTATAGATGAAAATAAATATATAAATAAATATATAATGCTCCAAGTAAAGACGGACCCCTGAGAACTTAAAGTAAAGTCATAATTAAGCATATGCACAAAGCTTGTGCTGATAATAATTAAACAGATTCATTGGAAGAGATGTAAAGTACCTTCAAACTATGTATTGTAGAAAAACTTGCTGTATTTTCAATAGAAAATGTTACTTTGTGTTTTTTCAGATGTCTGAGTGTATTTAAAGAGATTTTTGATGAGCCTTGAGCAGCAAAACAAGTTCATCAGAAGTTGTTCAATTTTGTGCTACAACAAAAACAGAAACCTTTTTGGAAATAAACATGCAAATGTAAAGAAAGTCAAACAGGATTAAAAAAAAACAATGGCTAGATGTTTTTTTTTTTTTTACAAAGCTTCTGTGCCAGATTATGCTACTGCAACAAATGGGTGAATAAGTTGAAGTTTTTCTTTTTTTTCTTTCTTTACACATCTTTACTAGTGATGTTCTGGGTGATTGCTGCCAAGTATCTAATGATACATTACAAATAACATAACTCAAAAACTCTACCTGTGGTGAAAAACTTACTCCCCATCATCCTGAACATGCAAACTCTTGTACAAATCTTAGTGGCATTATTACGGTGTAAGAGTCAAAGCATATTCAAGTAAAATGTCAAATATCTAAATTCAACTGAGGAACTTCAACAAATCCAGAAAATTGCTTTTCACAAATACTGTGCTTCCAGTACACTGAGCTAATTTGCACAGAATAATGGACACAACTTAACAAACAAAACCAAAAAGACTTTCCAAATGATTTCCCAGCTATGCACTACTTGTGTTTATCCATCACATATAATAAAATATATTAAACGCAGTTTAATATGGTTGTGGTTGTAATTTTATAAAATGCAGAGTCAGAGGTTTTTCAATACTCTCGTAAGGGATTAAGAACAGGCAAACAGGGTAAAATGTTTTAATGTTACAAAATATTTAACAGGTGATGAAAAAGAAGTACAGTGAGAATAAAACCAAACATAACAAATCCTACCATGGGTTCCAATTTGCAATAATTGTCTTCGATGAGTTGCGGGGATGATCTCTCACGCAGAGCTTGGCAACAAGAAGGGAAAAGATGAGAAGTGTGAGGTAAATATTGTGTTTAATAAACAAACATCAGTCAGGAAACTGACATTAGTCTAGGGATGAAGAGAGAGGGAGAATATAAAGCACAATGTACATGTGGAGAGGAGTTGATGGAGGAGTGAGGGGGTCATATTCATCTGTTACACAAGGCAGCCCCAAACAGGAAGGAGCAGGAAGCTCTATATAACATACAGATCAGGATCCAAGTCTACGGTACAAAAAACTTAGCAGCAACATGTTAACATCTGAGACCAAAGGGGCTAACAAAGTAGTTTCATTTAGAAAAAAGTCACAGTATGTTTTAAATTTGTTAAAAAGGTAAAAAGAGTTCTCTATGCATCCGCTAGGGTCAATGCTACTCACAAAGTCTGTGTGGAGTACATAGGTGGGGAAATCTATACATTTATACTCTAATATAAAGAACCTTCTGGTAATGGCACAGTACAAACTCTCAGGAAACGCGACAAAAATATACAATGTCTTCACGTCACATTTGCAGATTAAAATGTAACTAAGGTCTCTGGCAAGCACAAAATGTTTCAGTGATCAAAAACAAAACAAAACTTTTCTTACACCAAAAATAAAGGACACCGTTTTTGTTAGTCAGCTATCTTGACAGAGTATGTCTTTTTAATACAAAAATAAGGACAAATATAAATTAATATATATTAAAAGACTCAGGCTGATACATGGGGAATCTAGTGAATAAGTACATGTATTTATGATACAATAAATACTTGTCATTCATGACTCGGGGGTGGGGGTACACAAACAGAGAGCTGTGTGGTTGACCAGTTTTTTTTCTGCAGGTGCATGTGTGAGTCTCTGTGTGTGTGTGTGTTGTTGTTGTTGTCGTTCAGTAGCCGCAAAAAGAGCCAGGAGATTGGACGCAGCTGTGTGTACGATCATGCACACAGTCACAGAGGATTCAGCAGGTCTGCTGATGGAGCCTGTGGTGGTTTCTGAGTTGCGTTTGTGTGTATGTGGGGGGTAACCGCTGCCCACACTGTGCCATGCTTTAAGGCAGCTCCTCCTAGTGGTGAGTCTGTAGTACTACCATTTACAGTTACTCCAAAAGATGCACAACTCAGAGACGGGACGCAGGATGTCTACTGTAAAGTGGTGAGCCGCCGCTTCTCCAGGGAATAAAAACATTGTGGCACCACTGGAGCTATCACGACCAACAAAAAGAAGTAGATGAAGAACAATGTTTTTCTTTTTTTGTCTTTTTCCCCACTTCATAATAAAAATAAGTCTGCTTTTGTACTTTACAATACAATTCAAAATCCCCCCAGAGGAAGCATCGGTCATCAGTCCAGCACTGACAGGAAAGGTAGCTATTTTTTTTATTTATTTGTTTCTCTTGTGTTTTTCTTTTGCTTTTTTTTTTCTTTTACTTTTTTTGGGGGGCTTTTAAAAAAAAATCAGGGTGCTGGGGAATAATACTCCTGGGGTGTGGAGAATTTCCTCACAGGGAACACAAACAGATGAGCAATCAGGTAAGGATGGCAGGAGCTCTGTCAACAAAAAAAAAAAAGAACTTCTCTTTTGTTTTACGAAGAACACTTTGTACAGCCGCACTTGACAACCTTTTCTACTTCCTGGACAAAAGAAGACCCATCAGTGCACTGGAAGGTGTATTTCCTGCGTTTGCTACGGAGGGGGGTGCAGCAGGTGCCCTGTCCGTCTGCTCCCCCCGGGCAGCTGCCTCGACACTCTAGACGGGAGACCTTCTCCTGGGTTTGGCACGCCGCGTAGCCCTGCTGTCTCTGGTAGACATCTCTGACCCGTTCCCCTCGGCAGGCCACCTCTGCAACAAAATACGTCATTAAGTCACCCAGAGTTTTCTAAGGAAGCACACCTATCTACTGTACGCCTGCAGGAACAGAGTTAAATCAACGCTATTCTGTATGCGACACAAAAGAAAGCTGTGAGAATTTTATATTCAGTGAATTCTAGAGAACATAGTGATAAATTGTCTATTCAATCAAATATCTTGAAACTAAGGGACTTGGCTAATTTTAAAATGCCATTAGTTATGTTTAAAGCTAGAAAGGTACTGTTGCCAATTAATTTCCAAAAGTTCTTTGTCTTAAGATGAAGTGATATAAATAACAAAAAGGAAGTACAATTTCAATTTCAAAAATAAAACAGTGTGTACTACTTTAAAACAAATGTGTGTTTCAGTGCACGGAGTAAAACTAAAGAACAGTTTGGATGGGGAATTGAGAAAACGCTCCACTGTAAATAAGTTCAAAACACATTACAAGAAAACAAATCATTAAGTCTTAAAAAAACGTAAGAGACGACCATAAAAAAATGATTCTGCAACGACTGAGAAAAGGGCAGGTTGATACAAGATTTTTTCCTTCTTCCTGCTCTGTTTTCACCTGTCTAGTAAGTGTTGTAAAACAACCGAATGTGTTTGTGAATTAACGATGACATTTGTTAAATGGAGTGAATGATGCAAACACTGAATGTTTGATAGCAAGAAAATTATGCGATTTGCACGGGTGCCATCCATTCATTATGATCCTGAAATTTACAGAGCTCCATAAAGCTACTCATTCTTTCACAAATGTCATCGCAGCTACTGGATTTACACAACGAGAACACTAGAACTCAAGGATTTGAAGGAGTAAGTAAATGTTTTTGGCAATATTGTGTTTGCTGTGAAAAAGGTTGGATACAAAGAACTGAAAAATTGAAACAAAAACAGAAAAGAAAATTAACCCTTACGTCTGCAAAGTTTCAGGTTTATAAGCAATGCTCTGGAATCTTTATACACTATTTGTAACACTGGTGAATTAAACATTTTGTATCAAGAATGTTCTTTAAACATCACATTTAATCTTTAGTTTTAGATTAAATGTCCTACTGGAACTAAATATTATATTTTATATGCTCGGTGAGTCGAGAACAAACTAGTTCCAGATGACAATATAGTTACACGTCATCTCACCTGAGTAGTCCCCCGCGTGGGATTAAGAGGAAGCTCTGAAGACGCTAAGTTTAAAAAGTGGAAATGTTAGCAGAGTTAGTACAGAAGCAAGAAACAATGTTAGAGACAATTTAAGACATTTGAGTAAGATTGGATTAGAAGAAGTTTGGTTAAAAGAAATGCCTTCAATAAAACGGGTTCATTAGGGTGTTATTGGACAAACAATCTCTGGTTAGCAATCGCATGCATACTTATATGTTTTGTAATGATTATTATTATAATTTTACTGACCTCTGTCACATGCCTCCCCTGTGTATCCGCTGTTACACTCGCAGTATGCTTTACCCAGGCCTGACACTCGACATTTGCCGTGTTTGCAGCGAGACAGGCTGCAGGGGTTAGCTGTATCCAGGTCCTGCGCATCACAGAGAACACCAGCAAAACCAGGCTGGCAGACGCAGGAGTAGGAGTAGGAGTTGATTGGAAGGCAGGTACCATGAATACACCTATAATGACGGGAATAACATTGAGTATAAATAAGACTTTGCTAGTTTATTTTCAATATGCTGCAGAACCTTGAATCGCACTCACTTGTTTCCATCGCAGGGATTGCTAACTTGCTGGTCACACAGAGCCCCTGTCCACCCGGGATGGCAGGTACAGGTGAAACCTTGGTGACCCGTTGGGTGGCAGTCGCCTTGGACGCAGGCACCCCTCTGGCACGGCTGGCAGCCTGGTTCCACCCCGTTTCCCAGCCACTGTCTGTAGCTCCGCAAAGTCTCTGGACCTGGAGAGCTTTGGTCACGCCCGGCTCCCAAGTTCTGGAGCTTTCCGTTGATGTAGAGGTTACGGAGGCATCCGTGGAAGCTGGTGCCGTTACGGCCTCCGGAGCTGAGCTGCAGTGCAGAAAGGCCGCCAGAAGCCGATGCCTGCTCTGGCATTCCTGTACAGAGAATCGCCACAGGTGGATCTAAAATCTGACTACAATCTGCATTAAATGGAAAGCAATTTTTGCTAAATAAGAGTTAAATTAAGGGACACTAGATACAAAAGCAATATCACACATCCAAGTATCGAGCCATGTGTGACACAATGTTATAAATATGGGACAATCCAGATCGCAGAGCTGGGGATAATCTAAACATCTCCAGTGCGCCTGCAAAATAAGCAGAATACCAAAACAGTGGATGTAAATAAAATGATATGAAGTTCTTTGTTTGGGGGTTAGTCCTCTGTTTAGGCGAGCGAAGCCTCTCAGTGGCCCATTGATAATTCAACCAAACTTTTAGTTTAGAGACATCGTTTATTGGTTTTAATTCTAAAATCAACTGTACCTTGGTTTTGATAAACTGTCTTGTTATTATCAGCAGTTATTGTTATTTATCTTGTGATGTTATTCATGCAGTAAGTTGTTAGATCAGTGACTCTTCCTGACATCCACAGACAGACGGTGTGAGTTCCTACCTCCCAGGTAAAGTGGGGAATCTAGGTTGAGCGTGGACTGTTTGCTGATGGAGCCGATGGATTTGGGGGGTCCGCCATCAATGGACAGCGACAACGTCTGGTCAGCTGCTACTAACTCCACAGAATGGAAACTACCATCATTCACCGTCTCCACACTGAGAAGGAGAGAGAGAGAAACTGAGGCAACATCTCTCATATTACAGTCTCTGGATGTCAGACATGTTTTTGAGCAAATACCTGTATATCGCAGAAGGCGGGTAGGACCCAGTGTCGTAGCTGACCCTGAGACGTCCCCTGTACAGCTCCATTGCGATGTGGTCATTGTCACCCTTGTACAACAAGACGCCGCTGTCCTCATCAGTAGCAATCTGTAAGCACAGGTGGACGTAGCTGTCAATGACATTTCTTGCAGCAGTAAAACATAAAGCCTGTGTTTATATTACTTTGGAAATTTCACAGTCATTATTAATTCCAGCACATTGCAAAGATATTCACACTTCTTGAAGTTTTCCATTTTAAGTCATGTTACAACTACAAATTGGGTTTATTTTATTGAACGTTTCTGTGGGTCATCCTTGACCAAATTCCCAGCTACTGCTGAAGAAAACAATCCACCTAGCATGATGCTAACACCGCCATTTCTCATTGTGTGGACTGTTTGTTCAGGATGATGTTCAATGTTAGCTTAGCATAAAGACCAAAGTGACTTGGATCTCTGCAGCTTCTTCATAGTTAGTATGTAATTGAAGTAAGAGGCTTGCAGGCTCTTTTTTTTACCACTCAAAAGTATTTTTTCCCAATTAAGGCTCTTGTCACCCAGTTTGCTAACCACTTTTTGGAAGGTTTGCAGCTGCGCCAAACCCTCTCCACGGGTTAAACTGTGTACTGCTAAATGTTCAAAGCTTGGGATACTGTCTCATAACATCACCCTGGTTAAAACGTGTCTATAATTTTGTCCCTACAGTAAAGACATTAGCTGCATTTAATTTTTTTTTGTAAAATAGTAATGCTCACCACACTTTTTGCTGTCAAAAACTTAAAATCTACGTAATCTTTTTAAACTTAAAAAACACAAACTACTTTGCTTTACGAAATATTTGAAAGTTTGCAGTTGTAATGTGACAAAATCTAAACATACTAAGGAGTATTAATACTCTACAAGGCTGTTTAAACACAGGCAGTGTTAAGAAATAGTTTTTAGGTTAAACTAATAATTTGGTTCATTTACCATTCAGTATCTTTTAATACATTTTAGATGCATCTTTCTCCCTAAGACAAAATGCCCATGGATATTTGGAGCAACAGTAAAGATCCGTAAATGGAACATAAAATAGTAATAAAATGAAAAGAGCTGCGTCTACCTGTAAGCTGATGTTGGTCTGTGGTGAGAGGAGGTTGGAGGGAAGCTGCAGGTAGGACTCCCGGTTGACAAAGTTCACGCTCACGAGCGTTTCACAACGCTCGCCCTCGTATCCATGGAGACATTGGCAGCGTGGGTCCGTTCCCACAACAACGCACTGAGCTCCGTTTAGGCAGTCGTGGTTGTCACAGGGACTGGTTCGAGGGAGGACCATTGGGGGAGTGAACTCGCAGAACAGCCCACTGCAACATGCATGTTGACAGGTACATTACACGTAGGACCACGGCTTGAAAATGCTCTCAGTTTTTGTGTAAAAAGTAGCTTCTCTTCACAAAACACAAAAAATGAACTTATCCTGCCTCTGTTACACTCCTGACTCACCAAGCAAGGTGATCGTAGGCCTGTATCGACTCACAAGGCTAGTTAATATCGGATCCTTTATTGTTCTTATTAATTTTTAAAAAGTCTAAAAAGTGGAATTGAGTATAGGTGGGAGCAAAAGAAAGAACATGCTCAGGGTACCAATAATGCAAGAGATTTAGATTTAGCAGGTAAAAAAAACAGCAAAAACAGAATTGATAACACTGTTGGGAAAAACTTTAGAAACATCCCAGTACAGAGCTGACAAAAACTGATATGCATCATAAGCTACGTTCACACTGCAGCCTGAAGTCACCCAAACCAGATTCAGCCTGTATCTGATCTTTTCATGACAGTCTAAACAACACAGATCAGATTTTTACAAATGCAACCCAGGAGACTTGGATATGCGGCTATAAATCAGAAATGCATCTGATCTGTTCAAATGCGACCACAGAAATGTGAACAACCATGAAAAAAAAAAAAAAAAAATCAGATTTCACAAAAACTCAGATTTGAGCATGAAGGATTGCAGTGTGAACTTAGCCACAGAGTATAACACGGTTAATGGCAGTGAAGATAATTTGCATTGTGGAGACGTATTCTTTACCTGTATCCCTCTGGACAGATGCAGGTGTATCCGTTCACGGCATCAATGCAATGACCTCCGTTCTGACACTTGTTCTCTTCACAGTCGTCATAGTCCAGCTCACACTGCTCACCTACATACCCGGGAGTGCACTCGCACCTAAAACGAGTGGAAAGATTTCTGTTAAATTATTTCACGGCCTATACCACAAACAACGTTCAAGCTACTTTTTAGCTTCCTGCATGAAAGCATCATTCAGTCCCTTTATGTCTGTGCATTTCCAAAGCTGCAGAACAAAACACCAACTCTGCGTATGTGCATGAACGGCTGCACAATCCACTCACTTGTATCCCCGAGGGGTCAAAATGCACTTTGAGTCGTGCTGACACGGGTTAAGCTCTGGGGTGCAGAAGTTCAGTTTCTCCTCGCACAACTCCCCTAGAAACACACACACATACACAAATGACATCAACAAGCTTCATTTCCCAGTGTAAAATCAAACTATAATATGATGGACATTTTTATTCTACAAGTTGATCTACGGTGTTTATTACATTCTTTGCATCAGCATTACATACAGCAAAGCATGTCTTGTGGTCTTGTGTGTGTGTGTGTGTGTGTGAGTGTGTTTGTGTGTCGTATGGGTGTTCGCTTTAATGATGGATGGCTCTCTTGTGGCCAGGACCAACACAGTGGTCTGATAAATGATCTCATTGTGTAAAATGTCATATTACAGATGAAAGTCCAGAGTGTGTCCTGATCATTAGAAGTCAAGTGAATCCCTGATGAGGCACCGGGGAATAATCCAATACTCCTGGCAGCAGAGGGTCCAGTGAGGGAATAATTACCCAGCTCTGTGGGGAACTGTGAGAGCCTATGCATGTGTATGTGTATTTATGCTTCTCAAGTGTTCAGAAAATACTGTAGAGTATTTAGAAAAAGCAATATTTGTAAAGTTAACATTATTTCTAAGTAAAAATGACCACATAACTGTGAGGTAAATACTAGGTACACTGCATGAACGCCGACTGCGTTTTCTTTCCATTCGAATATGCACGGCTCTTCTAGAACATGCTTTAATTTGGGAGAGGCATTGACGAGATCCCCTCGGGTCCGCTGAGACAGTACGGAAATGCGAAACGGGTCTTTTCTGAAGATGCTTGATCAGACTTTGATCTGAATGTCAGGATGTTACATCAACAACTTGGATATTTTCCTACTCGTCTCCGTCAGAGTAGCAGCCACTGAAGTCCCAGGACTCAATACGTGCACGGTAATAATCAGAGCTCTTCGGTTCAGTTGTCATCAGTTTGATTTGTTGTAGAAGACAATCAGAGTACAGCGTCTCCCAAAAATACCCCCAGAAGTTTTTCCACATTTTGTCATGTTACAACCACAAACTTTAATGTGTTTTATTAAGACTTTATGTGAAAGACAAACACAACTAGGCTGATAATTGCAAAGCAGAAAGAATGTCAGGACTAAAGTTTTGGAGAAGTTATAGGGTTATAAAACAACAGCCTAGAGTTTAATATCACTTGAGATATAATTAGTATTGTGGACCCTCGAAGAAATGTTTGTCAATCTAAGCTGACTGGTGGGTCAAGAAAAGCATTACTCTTCACATATTAACTTCGTGGGAGAAGCAGAAATTAAAACTTCAGGTGGGGCATTTATCGACGGAACAAATGTTAACTGTGCACTTCACATATCTGCTGTTTATAAACTAAAAAACAGAAAAGCCGTTGGTACAAAAGGTCATTAAAAATCCAGAAAAAGCCAAGAAGGCAAGTAGGAGCCAAAGTAAACATGGGGAACAAAATTTATTTAATGTACAAATAAACAACACCATTTCTAGTAGAAAAGTAATACTGCAAATCACCACAAACACACATAAAATGTGGTGGCAGCATCTTACCGTAGGGATGATTTCCTACAGGTTGCAGAATCTGGAGACCGGGGTGGAGGTCCCCACTTTTCAGATTTTTATTTAAAAATAATTGGAAAACCATGAAAATAATTCATTGTTCTCCTAATTCACAATTATGCCCTGTGGCTGTAACAGGGCAAAGTGAGGAAATAAATTTAGAAATCATTTCAGGTTTATTTCTCTTATGCATGTAAGTCTGAATAGAAAACAGAAAATTTGGAGCTTTTATGGAACTTGTCTTTCTTTCACTGCTAGATACCAAATACTTAAATAAAAAAAAAAGATAAAACAAACCAAAACTAGCAACCAACCAATTGTGACACACTTCTCTACTGTTCCACCCTAAAAAAAAAAAAAAGATCTCAAAAGCACACAAATGCACTGCTTTACTGCTGCCAACAGGCAGCTTTGCACACATTGAGCAATCTGTTCTGCTGTGGGTGACATTTCTGTGGGTTGTGGACATAAAGCACAGGGGACGGTTGAAGTTAGGGATGGTATCGGAGGAAGTAAAGAAGAAGAGAGGGACAAGAAGGACACAGAGAAGAACAGACTAACCTCTCTCCACCTCATTGGTAGCAGCTGCAACCACAAAGAAAGATGACAGATGAAAAAAACAGAAAAGCAAGACGGGAGAGAGAAGACAGCAAACAAACATCCAAAGACAGAGAGAGAACAGCGCCACAAAGGTTAGCAGTCAGAGATGATCAGCACATTGCAAAAGCAGACGAACGTGTTGCGACAGACCAGAAATAAAATAAAGACAGTTACATAAGCTCTCACCAGAGGTTTTTATTGCCTCGTCATTTGTACAGGTTTCAGAATATTTGGGGACTTTTATTGATCTTTTAAAAATGTTCTTTATTGAGGTGTGGGCAGAAAATACAATTTCACAGATTTTAAAAAAAGGAACAACTGGGCAAAGAAGTTTGGATTGTTGTAAACTTTGTCTAATCTCTTTAGATAAAACATGTAGGATAAAACCTGCACAGATTTCCTCACAGATATTTGTCCGAATGCTCCTGTGCAAAAAGCACGACCTGACCCGTCTAAAAGGATAATATGAGCTTTTCCACAAGTTTCAATCAACTAGCTGCTGTTTGGAGGTGAACATGAAGAAAGTCAGTCTAGTTCTCCCTCTTAATGATCCCATCCACTTAGTCATGCACTGGCAAAACAATACCTCAGCATAATACTACCACCACCATACAGTGATTTTTAGATGATGTTTTCAACTTGAAACAGTTTTCTTGTAGTTGAGTACATATTTTGAGTCAAAAACTATATTTTGATTCAAAACTGTATGTTTTAAAATCATTTCACTTCTGAAAATGCATCATTAAAAGCTCAAAATTATAAGATATTGATGGCTTTGCAGGAACTTCTAAATAGAAGTGTATGAATAAGGTTTGTTGGTTTTGATATTTAACTTCTATGGGTGATTTACATAAGAGGCACGTGCAATATATACTATTACCTTGAAGCAGATAATCTATTAAAAAATACAACTAAATCTTTTATAATTTAGAAAGTAGAATCTATCAGTTTTGCGAGACTGTTGCACAGTCTGAAAATATCTCCAGTGTTTTTGTGTTTGAGATCATTTAACTAATTAAATGCAGCTAAATAAATAAATAAATAAATGGAGATCCATTAAGGGAGGAAGGTCTTTGAAAGCGACGTGTTACCTGTGTATTCTGGTGAGCACATGCAGGTGTAGTTGTTGATTCCGTCCACGCAGGTGGAGTTGTTCTCACAGTCGTTGTCCTCACAGTCGTCAATGTTGATCTCACACGTGTCGCCTTCGAAGCCCTCCGGACACACACACCTGAAGTTACACATCAAGTCATACAATCAACCAATCATGAGTAAAAAAAAAAAGGAAATTACACACACAACAACATACAGATGATAATACATTTGTGATTCATAACAGTTGAGTTATTCTCTATGAATGTCCAAAGTGACTAATGGCTGCGTACCTGTAATTTATTCATACAACTTATTTTGTCACATTATTACCATAAGACACAAAGTAGAACTTAACTATGAAATGGAAGGAAAACTTTTTCCACAAAATGAAAACGTGGCATGCATCTGTATTCAGTCCCATCAACTCCGACCAGCTTCCCTGTCAAAACTGAGGCAACACGTCCCTACAGCATGACACCACCACTACCATGTTTCTCCATTGAGATGTGTCCAACTATACAACAGGATATGTGGCCATGTCAGAGAGTTTCATTTTGGTTTCATGTGACAAGATCACCTAGCTTACTTATATTAAAGAAAGACAGCCACCTTTACTCCAGAGATCTGTGTCACAAATGGTAATGTCTCTCCGCTAAGTAACTACGTCTCAGTTTAGGCACACACACACACACACACACACACACACACACACACACACACACACACACACACACACACACACGCAGAGTGCCATATTATGGGCTTAATCAAGAGCTCTTCATGCATTACACGCTCTGCTGGATGATATCTCATTATAACCAGCGATAGCACTTCAGAACGAATATATTCAAATTACTATTTAAAAAAAAATCAAACAAAGACAGAAATGTTTAAGAAGAAGAGACAAAGAGGAGACAAAGAGGAGACAAGAAGAGAAGCGATTTTATGGTTTGTTTAAGTATCTTTGTTAATATCTATTTTGCTAGCTTGCCTCCTGATGGCACTTTATCACTTGATAATCAGATTTCTTCATTGGGCCTTAATGAGCTTGAATTTTAAAGGTACTAAGAAATAACAGAATGAGTTAGTAGCTCCTGTTACTGGTGGAGAGACAATGACTGAGGATCTCATTGTGTTTTATATCCAATGAATATCCACATTTGTGTTCAGACACAAAACTATTATAGCAGCTTTTGTCTATCTGTGTTAATGTACATGCTTTGAATTGCCTGCCAGTTTACTGCTGGTACACCTGAATGTCCCCACTAAGGGACAGTACAGTCTATTCTATTGTATTCTATTCTATTAGAAAGCATTCAAGTTTTCTTCCTATCATGGCTGAAATCCTCTCCAAAATCAGCTACATTTGAGTTCATTTGTTAAATTTAATGAGTTTTAACTATAATGTTAAGCATTTTAAACAGTTGAACATCTGAATGTACTGACTAAAACCATTGGACTTGTTTTAGTTTAGCTTACATTTAATGGACATTTAATGTTTTATAATGTGTAAAATTGTCTTGAGCTGCTGTCATTTTGGCCATCACACTGTAGTGAATGACATTTTAAGTT